GAGAGGAGGTGGGGTGTCGTAGGAGGTGGTGGCAAAGAACAGGAGGGAAAGAGGTGGGACCGAGCGTGTGGAAGAGCGAGAGGACGAGGTGAGTAGCAGCGAGTCCGTGAGCCCGAGTGAGTAACTGGGAGTCGCAACCGAGGACCCACTCAGTCACCACGAGATCGGCAAGCCGAATGGTCAACCGCGCCGGTTCTCCCGCTCGGAACTCTGCGCACAGCTGAAGGGACAATCGAACCGACACAAGGACACGTTGCGTTCCTTCGAATGTCAACTAGCGCGTTCCTTGCTCGACGCATCGTCGCTCGAACCGTGCCATTGCCGATCGCGCATCCGACGTGCATCCCACGATGTGGAGATTTCTGGTGCGCTGTTATGTCACGTTGACATCGATCTGACGCGTTTCGTTTCGTTTAGTTTCGCTCCGTTCCGTTCCGTTTCGTTTCGTTTCGTTTCGTTTCGTTTCCTTTCGTTTCGTTTCGTTTCGTTTCGTTTCGTTTCTCTGTTTCGACCGCAAAAGACGAACGTTTCCGCGTCCGTTTCTACCCACCGATTTCCCGAACCGAGACTGACTTTCCCGGGGAAAAGACGGAGCCAAGGTGGGACCGGAAGTGCGTGAGTGGATGCGAGCAAGAGGTATCGACGGGAGGAGCCGAAGACTCTCCTGCAGAAGGCCGAGGAAGAGATGATCTACGAGCTGCTGGTGGCTGGAGCGTTCGCCCTCGCCACGCTAAGGCGGTGTGTGTACATTGCTAAATTCTATCCACTTTCTCTCTACTCTACTACCTATATTTGCCTATATTCTTCTTTGTACCTTTTAACGGAAACGGAGTATATTTCCGTTTCGCGAGAACCTGCGCCACGCGGCAAATCACACGGCTCGTGTTGACTCGAGGAAGAAAAATAATCTCGAAATTAATAATAATAATTTGGACGGGGCGATTGCTCGGATCTCGATTCGATCTTGTCGGTCGTTTTTCGGATTTTCGAGCGTACACCCGTTTCCTCGTGTCCGCTCGTTTTAACCGTACTTACTTGGAAAACTGCAATTTATTTCTATCATGAGCATTTCGTGGAATCACTCGCAGGAAAGAACTAACGACAAGGTGCATCTAACTTCGAGTTTTGCCGTAATGTACATAATGATGCAGTAACACGTGAGGATTCCTCGCGATGTTTAAGCCACTTTTTTTTTCTTTGTTTACGCGTCTCGCACGATTAAAAAGAAATCATTAAACGAGTATATACTTGTGTTGTGGAATTATAATTATTTCCGATGTTGAGTAATAAAAAAAAAAAAATTCCACGTGTCATTTTTTATTTTTCATTTTTTTTTTCTTTTTTTCAAGATTAACTTTTGTTTCGACACATCCCCCCTCCTCTCCC